AAAGAGAATATCTCTATAGAACAAGCCATATCCATGTTCAACAGCCTTTGCGAGTTTTCCCAAGTTTTCTACAATCTCTCAAAGTTTTTCTTCAATTTTCAGTTTCCTTTTCCTTTTGATGATGATGGTGGATCTATTGCTCCTTCTCGTAGTAAGGAATCTCCAATTTCATCATTAATGCCATCTGAGGGTGTGGGAACTTGACCATCAGTACCATGAGTCACAGAGGCTGAAGTTGCTTCACGTCTGTTCAATTCCTTTGCAGTAAAAGCTCCACTCCTTGTAACTTGATCATTTCCACAAACAAATACCAAATCATCGTAGTTATCAATTTTTTTCCTACGATATTGTCTCGCCTCCGGATGAGACTATGAAAAAAGAAGGCAATTCATCAAATTAGACAATGATAACAAAAGAAACATAATCTAAGCATTATATAAAATCACATACCTCAACATAAGAATTCCAAACCTCAGGTTCAACATCTATTGTCTATGTTTGATCATTCCAACTAAAGCCACTTTGATTAAGAATAGATTTTAATGTGGCAATTTTTTTTTTATAGTCTTCAAGCGATTCTTAATATGATCAACATTACAATCAACCCCAAATTTAGAACCAATTGCTCTATTTGCATCTTTATAAGTAGGGCCCTTGAAACTTTTATCAACTTTGTTCCCAAGATGCACTTGTTGGACAAGTGCCTCAATTAGACAATTGTCCATTTCTAGGGTCCAAGTCATGTTAGGCTTATGACTACTTGATTCCAGTCCTTCCATATCTAAGATATAGCAAGCACATAATAAACATGTAATAAACCTAATATAATAGAAATTATGTCAAAAAAAAAAATCAACACAAAGCAATGATTTTCTAACAAATGCAAACAAAGATAATGTGACAATAGTCATTGTTTACATAATATCATTTTCAAATAAAAAAAATCACAAAATTCAAATTAACACCTTCTTCGAGAGTGTTGTAATTGGTAATGTTCCCACATTTTTGTTATTATTTCTTTTCTTAAGCGAGTTCTTTGTCTCATTGCCTCATTCCTACTTAAACGATGTGAATGTCTTCTTAGTTGTCTCTCATCATCTTCTTCCTCGGGTTTAACACCATCTTCATTACCTTACTCTGATACTCTATTTCCTGCTTCTTGATCGTATTGCCTCATAATGAAGTCATATGGATTCACACCCATCACGTGGTTATTTAAGATACAACAAGCATGTGCAATCACATTTGTATATATATATATACAAAGAGGGAGAGAGAGAGAGAGAGAATAATAATAATAATTGTTTTGATTCTTATTTTTTGTATATAAAATAAAATAATTTTATATGTATAATTTTTTATAGATGTGTGTCTTTTATATAGATTAGTTTTTTTTTTGAAAAGCCCTATGCAAATGCACTTGGCCATATGTACCCTTTAGGGGGCATTTTTGTTTTGGATTTTGAGAGGGGAGGGGACCAAGAAATCCATGTTCTTTTTTTCAGATTTATGTGGGGACGAGGGAAAGTTTATTATGCTAGGTATCACTTGCCTAGGTAACTGATACCTACCTCCTAGGTGGGTAAATAACTTTTCCACCTGAGTTGAAAGTTCACAACACTTGAACGGGACAAAAATGCCTTTTTAATAATGAATTTTTATGGTTAAAATGGTCTTTGCCTTATTTACATGGGTAAATGCACTTATCTGGGTAAGTCTTTTTTGGGTAAATGCACTTACCTGAAAAACACTTACCCAGGTAAATGCACTTATCTGGATAAATAACTTCGAAAAGCAAACGGGGCCTTAAGAGTATGATATAAAATGCACCATTTAAACTAAAATGTACATCATATTTTTTTTAATATTCAATTGTATATCATATAAAGTCAATTAAATATCTTTTTCAATGTACTTTTTGGCTTAAAAGTTGAAATGTTAAATATTAATGGTGACACATCATTATCATTGCATGTTTGCTCATTAGAGAAGTGTGCGAAGTCCAATCACACATGCGTGCGCATGGCTACAATGGATCAATGCTTATGCAAATTTGTCTGCCAAACTGATGTGTCTTTCATAAGCCGCTTAGAACCTTTTAGAAGACATCAGACCAAATGAACTTCACAGTTCACACTAAAGGCCTGCCAATGCAAAAGATGACCCTACACTACTATTTCCTTTGGCAAAGCTGAACTAATAATGATAAACCAAAAATTATCAAACACTATGACTTTGGAGTTGAAATCAGCCCCCCACAAGATAGTTTTGCACAACGTTCCACAGCACATCCCCGCCGTGTAGTGGGAACATCTCCCGATGATGCCTCACCATTTTTGGTACTATCATCGGGAGATGTTCTCAATAGACAGTGGGAATATGCTGTAGAATGTTGTTGAAAACTATCTTGTAGGGGGCTGATTTGAACTCATGACCCCGTAAGTGGGGGTATATGAATTGATGCAACTAGAATTGGAGTCGGGATCTTCTCCTCACAGAGTGTGCTTCACATCAACCTCATAGAATGTCTTTTTAGCACTTTCAAAACATCTCCCATGTTTGTACTTATTATTCATGGAGAGATGTTCCAAGACACTCTGTGAGGACTGAGGAGCAGATCCCAATTCCTAGAGTTGACCGTCAATCAAAGGCTAACACGTGGCATTGAGATAAAAGGGCATAATGGTCAAGTTGCCACACCTTAGAGTGTGACATCATACCCTCACCAGGCTCGGACAGTGTGTGGCACTCCCTTTGATAAATTTGAGTTTAGCTTGAAAGTTCAAACAATCAATCAAACTTGTAAGTTTGAAACCGAGATATTGCACGTGAGCCTAAAATGGACATATTAACCTTGCTTTTTCACATTGGAAATAAACAATAAATATCAATTATTCTAATACAAAATCCTATATAAATTGAACTAAAAAATTCCCTGGTAATTTTCATTAAAAATGAAAATAAAATAACAATAACTATTAACACAAAACTTGTATAATATAGTCATGCCTTCATGTGCATATTAAGTCAATAACTCGTCATAATTTAAATCACCTACAATCAACATAAATTTCATTAAATTAAGCTAAAAATACTTCATAACTTGAACAAAATATATAAACACAAAACCCAACTTCAAAGTACAATCCATTGTTCAAGCCAACTTAAACTCATCGTAACATATTCTTATATTTCACATTTTTTTTTTCATATATATCAAGTTAGGCTTGTGAGCTTGAAAAATTAAATGACCTTATCCTAAGATCCAAATTTAATTAGTATTGAACTTAATCAAATTTGAGCCTGAACTATTTAATTAAAGCCTGATTCCAGTTGGAATAAGGTTTAATTAGTTATGATTGTAATGTCAAATATATACCATATATAAGATTGTGGGTCTTGGAGTCCAATCTGGAATGGCCTGGGCCAGTAGCCCAGTATTGGGATGGAATGTTGGGCATTCTCAGTTAAGCCTACAACTTTGACCGGGTTAGCCCAAATCCAACTTGAAAAATGTCGGATTGGGGTTGAAATTTGAATTAATCAGGGATATGATTAAAAAGTATGAACCTGACATAACTTCAGATTTGGTGGTGAGGCTCGATCAACCCAATCCAATCTAATCGAGCTTAGGTTCATATTGTTTTTTTTTTATTTATTTTTTTAAGACAGATTCAAATTCGTGAACATAAATATTAGGGTAAATTGCAAATAGTCACCAGTACTTTGGGGTTGTAACAGTTAACCCCCTTAACTTTGATATGCAACAAAGACCCCACCTTGCCCCGACTAGTTATCAGAATTATTGTTGAAAGAAAAATCATTAAATTATCCATTTTGAGATTCCACGGGCTTAGTTTAGGAGTATAAAATACAAATAGAGGGCAAAACTTTATATTCGTATGCATTTATACTGTAGATGTTTGTACTTATGTCTCAATTTGGAAAGAGTACAAATATAAATATGTCCAGTGTAAATGCATATAAAGTACTATAAAATATAATGTATTGCATTCTATATATTTGCATTTGTACTCCTTTCAAACAGAGTCTAAAGAGTATAAATACAAATATGTACAGTACAAATATATACATAATACCAGGTTTTGTACTCTATATATTTATGTTTGTACTCCTTCCAAACTGAGTCTGTGCTATTTCCAAACCGAGCAATGGGAAAAATAACAGAAGGACAAAGGCAACACTATGAATTAATGCTCAGTTTGGCAGGAATACAAATGCAAATATTAGAGTGTAAAACCTTATATTTTATATGTATTTGCACTGTTTGTAATCTTTCCAAATTAAGCCTAAAATGTTTTCCGCTGCTTGGCAAAATATGCTAACCCACATATCTTCCGGGAGATATTTCCAATGAAAGGCCTTAAAGGCTGTTCGAACGGACCTTATACTGGCTGAAGCCAAGTTACGTACCCTGATGACCACAAGGTGATAAAATGAAATGGTTAGTGAAGGATGAAGAGAAGAGTCCTGATCTCCTGCTCATACAAACTTTGCCCATGTCTATCCACATGACATCGCAGTCACACATGGAGAGTGTGTTGTGGGTAGATGTGGACAAGATATTATGGGTAGGAGATCCGGAGTCTGAAGAGAAGGTGGAGATGACTAGATGAAAGCTCATGGGCCGTCTGGGCTGTCTAGACTCCAAATTGGGCTTGAGCTTCTCAGTAACGGCCCACTAGGCCCAACGGAATTTTCACGGCCCAAACCAATCATGTCAACTTAGTCTGCTCCGAGTTTCCGACAGCGATTGTTACCGACGGAGGTTATATGACTCCCATCCGACAAAAGTATTTCTTTCTTCCGAAGCCAAAGGGAAAATAAATAGAAAAGGTAAAATGATAGGCGGAGGTTAGTCGCACGAATGCAGACGGGAATGTGTGTTCCCACCATGCTTTGAGGATCCGGCAAAGTCAAGTACGGCGGCGATTCCGCGAAGCCGTCGCCGGTCTACATTTATTTGCATTTCCAAGACACGTGGAATGCTGGTTTATATTTGGAAACTTATCAGAATTAGCTACCCAATTTGCCCATTTATTTGTTTTAATTTTCACATTTCCCTCAAACTAAATGTATCCGAATGACATGAGACTTAAGTAAGTAACCCTAGTACCCTAATTGGGACCGGCCTTATACGAGGTTACTTTCGATATTACAAATATGAATGAGGGGTAAAAGTGACATTTTAATCACGGACATTTTTCCGCTTGACTCTGCCTGTTTTTATTTTCCTCTGCAATTCGTTTGGTTTCTGTATCTGCCATTCTCGGGGAGGTTGTTCGCTGCTTTTGCTTTTTCTCTCTGCAATTCGTTCGCGGGCTCTCCTTCGTTGGTTTATTGTACGTTTCGTTATATTCTAAAATTTCATTTATTGAAGAAGATTTCTTTTTCTGGCATTTTGGTCATGTTTAACTGCATTGATTATGGAAACTGGATTCATTTTCGTTATTTTCTGCACTCTTCTTATGCTAGAATCAAGGTTGCTTTCTATGAAACCCTAACTTTAATTTTCAGCTACTCTGCATAGTCTGATTTTCTTTATCATTGAATAGAACCCTGTCTCGTTCTCCGTTGCTACTCTACTCTTTTGAAGTTTCTTCTCCGTTTTTATATTTTGGAGATCTTTAATGTTCTAAAAGAGGATCTTGCTCCGTTTGTGTAGGGAATTTTTCTGAGCAATGGTTTTCCTCCGAAGCGTTTCTGCTCTTTCAAGGCTCCGATCTCGTCTCGTAAGTACTGTCACGTGGATGTCGAAATGCTGTTTTCTTTGATTCGTTACGGCGTTTCTTATTAGCCTTTTTAATCTTGAGCCGCTTATGTAGTTAGGGCAGTGCATATCAAGAGTTGATCATTAAATACTGCGATGCTGGCCTTTCTTCTATTTTCCGAATTTGCCATGCTTGTTTATTTACTTATTGAAGTTACTGTTACAGGTTCAACAATCTGGTCTCAATGGTTCTGTTAGATGGCTGCAAAGTTCTTCAGAGACCGTAAGATTCGATCTATCTCTATAGACCTTGATGTAAATGCGTGCATTTTTGGTTCAAAAAACGAAGAAAGCACAAGCTTCATTGATTTAAGTTGATTTATCAACGTTGTTCTCCTTTTTTTTTTTATATATATCAAAGAATGGAAATTTTGGACCATTCGTTATGGATTTCTTATAAGCACAAGTTGACTTTTGGAGAAATGATTGCTGTCATTTCATATTCTGGTGGTTAAATTGGGATTCAACTGCCTCAAATTGGATGATATGTCCTTGCATCCATGGACTTTGTCAATTTATTTTACTTTTCTTACTTAGTTTGTATCAAGCAATAGCAGGACCATTAGGTGTTAAAATTGTCATTATAGTGAAGCGTCTCTTACCTGTAAAAAACAAAAGTAAAAAAGAACAAAAAGTGTCTCCTAGTTGAAATGGTTGCTATCTTACTAACCACTATTCCCCGTTCCTGCTCAAAGAAAATAAGGAAAAAAGAGAAGGAAAATGAAATGAAGGACATTTGTGAAATCATGGTTCCATCAATTTCAGCCCTTAACATGCAACAAAAAAAGCTTCACTGTCTTGGTGATTCCTTGAACCATTTCTTAAATTGATTCCTCTTTGAAAATGTGAAATGCTACTTAGGAAATACTTCAGGAGATGGCATAATTATAAATTGAGTAATTGATAGAAACATTGAATGTGAAATAAATTTCTTTAGTTTGCATGGGTGTAGGATTCAGTGTACTCTCATTGTTTTGCTATTATTTACATGGTAACCACGATAATTCACAGAAAGAAGCCATGCATTTATAGTTTAAAGGTTGATACTTTCAGCTGGTCAATAACTACAAGGATGTAAATTTTCAGCACGTATAGGTTATCAACGACTCCCCCTTCCCCCTTCCCCCCACCCCCATTTCTTCTATTAACTTTGAAGCTTATCTTGGAAAGTTGCAATATACTAGTATTTCTAGTTATTCATTTGCGTTCTCTATAGGTGATCAATGAGCCCCCACCCCATGTTTCTTCTATTAATGTTGAAGCTTACCCGGAAAAGTTGCTAAAGACCAGTATTTCTAGTTGTTCGTTTGTCTTCTGTATTCCTATTTTAGTTTTCTTATTTCTTTTTTTTTTTTAACTGAATTTGATCATAAAATTTGTTCTTTATCATGTAGGATCTTCATTCTCAATTGAAGGAATTGATTCCAGAACAGCAGGTTTGTTAGTTCTTCTATGTATCTAACTCATCTTATATACTTCTATGTATTGTACTTTTCATGACAAAAAAATTAAAAAAAAAGTTTTGTTTTCAAGAGGTGTGTCTTGAAGTTCTTGTTTTGAATCATGAACTTGGATGATTTTGGTATCATACATAACCTATATTGTTTTTCCATATAACATGATGCAGTTTTACAATTATTAAATATAAATATAGTGCACCACGTTCATTTTTTTTTCTTCTGGAAGATAATTGAAATTATATTAAAATGCAATTGTCCAACATGATAACTATTATGTTTTGTTATTTGTTCTCCTAGAACCGTTCTCATTCTCCCTTAAAATGTTTTAAGACTTTTCCTAGTTAAACATGGAGTCTTTTAGGGTATTAAATGGTAATATGTATATTGCAACATTTAAGGGATTCTCATAATATTTGTGCTGATTAGTTAAGTGCTTTCAAGATCCGAAATTTAATTTATTTTTCTAGAGTTTCATTAGCTCTATTTTTATTCCATTTCAGGAGCGACTGAAAAAGCTGAAAGCAGAATGTGGGAAGGTTCAGCTTGGGAACATTACAGTTGACATGGTAAAAATACTTATGTTGGTTTTATTGTATCTTCTCAGTAGTGGCTATTGGGAAGAAAAATGTTACAAGTGCAGCTTCTTCGTTTTCACATTTTTTTTAAATAAGTTTGTGTTGTAAATCTTAGAGAACCATATATTTGTTTATGTGTCTTCAACTTAAATTATCTGCCTCTTGTAATTTGGTAGGTAATTGGTGGAATGAGAGGAATGACAGGAATGCTTTGGGAAACCTCTTTACTTGACCCAGATGAGGTATACTTTTTATTTAGCTATTCATAAAGTTGTTTTTGGGTTACTACTGGAAATGGGATTTTTTGATATATTATTTTGCTGTATTTGGTTTTACTTTTGTACTTTAGGTTGGAAAATTGAATTTTCTTTCTTGGGTTTTAGGGAATTCGCTTTAGGGGTCTATCTATTCCTGAATGCCAGAAATTATTACCAGCTGCAAATCCTGGGGGAGAGCCTTTGCCTGAGGGCCTCCTGTGGCTTCTTCTAACTGGAAAGGTAATCTTTGTATGATTTCCTGTCTCTTCTGTCATCTTTAAAAGGATATTTATTCCAATAATACTCTGTTCAGTTTTATCATGAAGATTTTCTTGGCAAAGAGATCTATTGGTTGGATGATTATAAAGTTCCAATCTACAAGCTTACTTGTTTCAGTTACTATATTACTTCTTGTGATCCAGTTTGCAAATATTTATTCCAATAATACTCTGTTCAGTTTTATCATGGAGATTTTCTTGGCAAAGAGATCTATTGGTTGAATGATTATAACGTTCCAATCTACAAGCTTACTTGTTTCAGTTACTATATTACTCCTTGTGATCCAGTTTGCAAACAAGCATGATAAATAGAATGACAAGGATTGGGAACTTAGGTCAAATTTTGCCATGAGAGATTTTGTGGGTTAGATAAAAGCTCCAAATTTCTGCTACGTGTTTTTTTTTCCTGATAAGTGAATAGAATTTTATTAATAGTCAAAGATATAGAGAAGACAAAATATATATAACCAGTACAAGCTTCCAAATCATCCAAATCAATGCAGTGTGAAGGCTTCTCCACATGGTCCTTCCCAAGCTAACAATTTCTTCAAAATCTGAATCTTGCAGATCTGTCTCCTCCTCGAGGAATAACAGTTCGGTGTTTAAACTACCCTCTTCCAATATATCTCTTGGCTTTTGGAGATCGATACTTCCCAAGCTAACAGTTTCTTCAAAATCTGAACCGGAAACAGCAAAATCTTCATCGTCTGTCAATCTTTCCGAATCAGAGTCGAAGACCTCACTACTCTTCACACTCCTGGGATTACGGCGATCCTGTTCCTTAATCGGCAACTTCTTCGAGGGTCTCCACTGTAACGAGCTGGAGACCTTCGCTGAACTATCTTCTTCACCTAAGTAAGCACTGTCTTCAACAAGGTCTAAATCCCGCCGTTTTCTGCTTCTGTTATTCTGCCTATCCAAGGGTAAATGGTTTTCCTTCTCGGTCGGAAGCCAATGTAGCGACGAAGTGGCCGAACCTGCAGCTGGTGCGCGGAAATGAGAGGAGGGGCTAAAAGGAGAAGAAAATAGATGGTTTTCACCATCTATTGGAGGCTCCCCCTTCCCAAGCGCGTGTGACTTAAGTGAGTCACGTGCCCTCTTTAAGTGAGGCTTGATCTGGGCCGACTTAAGAGGACACGGCCCACTCTTGGTTTTTTTAACAGGCCCAACACATTTTTGAGGCCCACGTGTGCTAACTGGCACGTGAGGCTCAAGTTCACCCTTTTTTGGTTCGGCCTGGTCTGAAACTTTTAATCTTCCTTCATAACTTAAATTTAAAATCTCCGTCTTACTGCCTTTAACTATCTGTGCATAAGAAATACTGCACTCCTTACTGATAGCTTGCACTCCACGTCTTTGACCACCCATCTGCCCCCTCTCTTTTAAAGTCTCCAGTTTTTGCTTACCCAAATCGGTGAAAGACTGATCAACCTTTGAGATTACCACTCTCCTTGTTCCACGTAGGGCCTCTACTTCTACCTTCTCATCCCCTTCCTTGTGAGCCTCCCTCCATAGTGTAGCTTCTATGGAGGAGGCCAGCCAAATTGAGTAGAAGCAACCTTCCACGTTTATCTCCACTTTTCTGGGAATATCTTATGGTTTCACTCCGTTCAAAAGGAGAGCTGCTGATCGAAGGTCCCCCCAAAAAGCTCTGGCAAGCTTACCACCACATAACAGTGCAATGGATGCGGCCACTTCTTGTTTCCACAAATGAAAGGGCAGACCAAGAACTCGTATCACCACCCCATCCTCAGTGAAGAACTCTTTAGAGTTAGATGAAAAGTTCCACTTAGATATTGTAATCACACCATAATCAGATTGAAAACTGATAGCTGAGAGCTCTAACTTATCTTCAGTCAAATCAAGCACGACTTTACTGTTCTCAAAAGGTGTTAAAATAAACTTCCCTTTTAACTTCAACTGTAATACGAGCAGATCTGCAACTCTCCTCCAGTTGCTAACCGGATTTTTAACTTGAACCACATATTTATCTTCCCACTCTTCTCTCCTGGAATAGCCAACCAGCCTGTTTTGTCCAAAGGCTAGTAGCTCTTGGACCTGGTCTTCATCTTCATTTGAGAGTTTGATGGTTTTACCATTCTCCTTCAGTATATCCAATCGCATGTAGTGATGAAACTCTTCCAGTATTCCATTGATTTTCTTCCATCCAAGACCCTGTCTACCTTCAGGAAAGCAGACTAGTTGCCTCCTTCCTTTCCCATAGAATTCAGAGAGAGCTAAGTAACCCCCTTTACAGTTTCTTCTGCATTCTACAACATACCTCTTCCCTTCTTGAGTTCTCAATTCCTTCCAGTTTCTTTGTTTACCTTTGAGGCATGCTTCATTCACATACTCCTTGAACCAGTTAATCACTTCCATACCTTGCAACAACACTATGGCCTTCTTTTCTTCCCTAATCTTCAAGCTTGCCCCACCTTTGTTTTTCATCTCTTCAAGCAGAAACTCCTTGGCTTCGAACTTCAGTATTCTCCTCCACCGTCCTGCAGCCACAAACCCATCCCCTCTCATTTCCTCCTTCCTTACTTTCAATATATATTATATTGAAGGGAGACAGATTATAGACCAAATCCACAATATATATTATAAGACTTTGCAAACTGGACTTGGAGAAAGCCTATGACTTAGTGGATTGGAATTTCCTGCTGGAGATGTTGAGAAGACGTGGTTTTGGGGATAAATGGTGTAAGTGGATAAGAGGTTGCTTACACTCTTGTCGTTATTCAGTGCTGGTGAATGGGATGGTTAAGGACCTTTTTCCAGGCAATAGAGGCTTAAGACAAGGGGATCCACTCTCCCCTTTCCTCTTTACACTTGTTGTTGATGTTTTTAGTAGGATGATTTCCAAAGCAGATGAGGAGGGCCAAATAAAG